TATCTAAATCGAATAAACTTCTAAAAACTCAATTTCATAGGAGAATAATAGTCACATCCCTCACTTTGAGAGGAGTCAGGGCTGATTTGGTATTGTTATGCTTTGAAAAAAAATAGCTTCTGCTGTACTGTGAGAATAAGTTCATTTTTGCTGCTTCATGTTTTCAACTTTTTTCATCTAAAACTGTGAAAATAAGCTGTTTTTAAGTGTTTATCAAATACTCCTTTAAACTCAACTTTTTTTTATACTCACTTTTTATAAAATCATTTCAGTACCAAATCAGTACTCATTCTCCCATTTGACATGGATCAACCCTCCCTTGGTCAAGACTTTCGTTTTCTTAGTTGGAGAAAGACTTGCAATTGCAAGTCTTCTTTACCAAAAAAAATGAAAAAAAACAAGAACTGTAAGTCTTTGTGATTAGTTTTTTGGTCTTTCCTGTATCGTCGGCAGAAATAAAATAAAAACAAAACATAATATTTGTGGTCGATATTATATCATACTTTTCTGCAGCTAATTGACTTGAAGGACTTTTTATTTTCAGGGTCTTTCATTAAATGTGATTTATAATAAAATAACTTGTACATGATGTACTAATACAAGTCACTGATGTCAGTCAACCATTTTAATTGGTTGGACTAAAAATTGTTTGATTGATTGGTTGGAATATTTTGTGCATTCCGGTGGGTTATGCCAAATTCAAGACATCATATGTTACCATTCTTTTTTTTTTAAATGTTATTATTAATTAGAAGGAGAAGGTTCTAAACTTTTACAAAAGGTTAAGAGAGAGAAGTTTCAAACTTAGGACACGTGAGTAGAAATCTAACAATTACTATATTTGGATTGAACAACTTTTTTATTTTGATTTCTAATAGTTAAAGTGTATTTGTTTGAATGAAACTTCGATGTCACAAAGTGAAATTTTATTAAATAAAAACAGAAAATTCAAAGCGTACTTGATCTCTCACATTTATGTACAAATTTAACATAAATGACTGCACCAACTAGCTTAATTCAACTACTTGTTATCATCTTTATTTTTTGAACTTCATAGAGATGAGAGAAATTAAAAATATAGATAAAGATGTAATTTGACTAAAACAAGAAGAGACAAGATGTTAGGTACTGAGAAATTGAGAAAAACATTGTGCCGATTGCCGTCCTTTTTTAAGAATCGTGTCCTTCCTCTTTTTAATTAGTAATTTCGGTTTCCTAAATCATGCTTGTGATTCATAGCATCACAATCAACATAATTTCGGTTTTCTAACAAGAAAATATGCGATGAATATATATTTAAACGGTACTAGTATGTACTATTAAAGGATATTTGCAAATTAGCGTAATGAAATTGACTAAAATAATATGTTTCTCCTTGGCACTCAAGTTCTGATCAATTTTTTCATGATTTGGTTTAAAAGTGATTAGAATATCACCTGAATCAAAAAAATAAAAAAATAAAAAAATCTAAGTTCAAATGCAATTACAAATAAATAAATAAAAAATGTGTTTCACGCCACTTCGAGACACCGAAAAATGGACAAAAATCAAACTAGAATCGGGTGAATTATGATTTTATAGCGTGTACTTGATCGTTTGAGTGGATGACGTTAGAGTTTGCATGTCCAATCCTCCTTTTTCAAAAGCAAGGACAAAGTGGACTGTTGGGTTTGGGGCAAACTTCCCACCACCACTATCCACTATCCATATCCACTGGGCACCACCCCAATCAAAGAAAGATCTACACCCAATATCTCAAAGTTTAAACCCAGCAGATTGAGAGAGATGACTCCTGTGAAAGCACCCCATCTCTGCAAGTGAATTGTTCCATCCCCACTCTCCTTCCAGAGCGTTTGCATGTACGCTCCAGCCAGTCAGGGCACGAGTGATACTGTGATAGAGACTGTTTGGTAAATAAACAACAATTGGAAAGGTGTGGAATTTGAACAAATGACACATTACTTTCTCAGTTTTATCAAATTAGCACATGAACTAGGCATTAAAAATTCCCTCTATTTTCTGTAAAAACTCTCTTCAAATTTAAGGCGGAGAAGTAGCCACAAGTAGAAGAACAGACTCTAGTTGAGTGACATGACTATAATCGCGTTAAAAAATGGTAGGTGTTCATGTTACACGCTATCATTTGACGGAAGGATGAATGGAACATGGGAATAGCCGCATAGTTAATAAATTGTATCACAGTTTGATGGTGGTTAATTGTAGATTCATTAACTCTATATGGTAATTGCACAAAACTAGAAAACTTTGAGGCCATTTGTGCAAATTTGTTAAAATAGTTAGTCAATATAGACTTGTTGGACATCACTCTTATTGCATAAGAGAATATAATCGGATACATCAATTATCATAATACAAGTGGCTAAATTCTTAAATAAAAAACTTCTAATCACTTATATTATGACATTTGATATACCAATAGGGTTTACGACATATTGAAAATTTCTCCATTTGCATGGCTTTGGATTGGCTATTGGTGGTGGTGGTGATGATGGTGATGATGGGGCGTGCTTTAATTCAAGCCATGTTTTCCTCGCTTCCAAGGATTATTCTTAAACTAATCAAACTCTCTGGTTTTGGTTTCTAATTAAATAAATCTGACTGCCTCAGTTTATTCCTTTTGGCTCATTTTAATAGGTTTATTATATTAACATCTTATAAATTGTTGAATAAACTCCACTTACTTAATACACCTTATATTTACTTTTTCACTTAAAAATTATCTTAATACATCCCATATACTTTCCCATAATACCCCACATTCTCAATATACATCTTATATTTTGTATGTACACCCCATATTTTCTTTATACCCCACATTTCTCAAAGGGGTGTGCTATCCACACACCCCTTTTTACTTCTCCCACATCATTTGTTAATTTCTGTCTTTTGATCTTCTTTAATTCATCTCGTTCGACGGTCGAAAATTAAAAAGATGTGAGAGAAGTAAAAAAGGGTGTGTAGATATCACACTCCTACTCAAATCTTATAACACTCATTTTTAATTTAAGGGATTGAATATAACCATTAGAACGTTTAGTTTACCGAAAGATTTCAAATCATTTGAACGTTTAGTTTGCCGAATGATTTCAAAATGATGATTTAAAATCATCTTAGTATAGTTTGAAATCATCTTATTAACGCGTGCTAATTCGAAAAACACAAGTGATCCTTATTCAAACTTCTATATCCAATGTTGGACCTATTATATGGCCTAGAGATTCTGCCTTAGTTCCTAAAGGATGGGAGATCCTGACAAACGGCAAAAGATTGAGAGTAGGAGTTCCTGTGGAGAATGGCTATCCTCAATTTGTAAAAGTAGTACATGACTCTAGCACTACTACGACTCATGTTATTGGGTACGCAAGATTAATATGAACCCTAAAAGATGAATATGAATATAAAAGTTTAAATAATGCAACAAACGCAAGATTAAATAATTATCGATGTCATCGAAATCACTAAAAGAATGAAAAATATGAAGTCTTATCTCATGTGAAGCTTTCGAAACATCGATTTCGTGTTCCATTCGTCAAAAATAATTTTTCTCAATCAATATGTTTATAGTTTCATTGGTTAGAGTTTTGTTCAACAATGGAGGATGAGAGAGTTTTGATAGTTGAGAAGATAAATAATACACTAAAAGTGATTTGTGGTGTATTTATAAATTTTTATTTTTTTTAGGAGTAATTAGGTTTTCATCCTTATTTTTACTACTCTATTGATTAAAACCTTATTACTTTTCAATTTTTGATCAAGGTCCTTTGTATTAATAATATCATTAATTATTTCAATAATAAAATATTTTTTATTTCTAAATATATTCATTTAATATTAAAAATGTTACAATTAGTATATTTATATTTATGGCTAAATTTTTTATCATATATTTTTATTTTTAGTTTGTACCCATTTTTAATTTGCAACCCTTTTTTAATTTGTACCAATTTTCCTTTCAATTTTAATTTGTACCCATATATTAATTTCTTTTTGTGCCCATATTTTTTAAAGTTTTATTTGTATTGTACCCATATTTTTTTATTTATTTGTACCCATTTTTATTTTTGCTAAATGTACCCATTTTGAAGAATGTACCCATGTTTTGATACAATAATTTTTTGGTTATTTTTTTATGAATGTACCCATGTTTACACACACACGCACAATAGTATATTTATATTTTAATATTTTTAATCCCACAAATTATGTTTTTTATTTAAAATCTCATTACTATAAACAACTATAAATTTTAATTTTTAATTTAAAAAATATAGTAACGTACATAGAAATAAATTATCAATTAATTTTAGGGACTTGGATCAAAAATTGAAAACCAACAAAGTTTCAGTAAAAGATTATTCATAACTAGGGACCGCATCCAAAGTCTCCTTTTTTTTTAAAACCTAATAAGGTCAAAATTATCATTGCATAGTAGAGTAGAGTATTCAACATTTTGTAGAATATTAATATAAAAAGTCTTCTAATACTCACATGTGTATATGAGCTTTCTGTTTTTTTTTATACCTACTTCAATTTATATATTTTAAATTTGTGTTTTCAATCAAACTTCTGTCTGCAAGTTTCACTTCTACCAACATTTTTTTTCCCTCGCTCACACCATATAACACTATAGCCTCAATGATTTAAAATTTATAGGGTCTTCATCACCTTTTTTTTATAGGAGAAAAATTTGTAAGTTGATTGTAGATCAGTGATCGGGAATAATCTTTTTGACTTTCTTTTTTTTACATCTAAAGAAATAAATTGACATGCTTTCGATTATTAATTAGAATAGTTTAAAATATTACATTGAAAACAATAAAAAAATAGCTCTATTATTGTAACGAAGAGAAGAAAAATAGGGTAGTTAATTGGAATTGTGGAAATAGACATGCCTTGGGTCTTCTTCCTACTAAACAAGGGAAAAAGTGGGTAAGCTTCTTTTGCTTTCTAAATTAAATAAAGTTGCAGTTCTGTTCAATGGTTTCACTCTCTCTCCCTCTCTCTCTTTCTAAATTAATAAAGTTGCAGTTCTGTTCAATGGTCTCTCTCTCTCTCTCTCTCTCAAAATAGCAGGTTAGCTTCTGCATGCTCTTCCATGGAGTTTAAAATTTACTAAATTCTCTTCCAAATTTGGGTGTGTCTGCCTCAACCCCATAATACCACACTATACCTACTCTCCACCTTTACACTGGTAAAGTGAACTCTCTCTCTCTCTCTCTCTCTCTTTTGGGCAACTTTTGGTTATCCTTTCTATCAGGTGCTGATTAGTTTTTCCATTCAGTACCTGAATACTCTGCTGTTTTGTTGGCTTTTGGTTGCTTTTTTTTTCCCACTTATTCAGTCCTTTCCTTTCCATTGAGCATGAATAGTTTTTTTACCTCTTCCTTCAATGCTTCTTGATTGAATTCAGTTTGTTTTGCAGTTTGGTTATATTTATCTTCATACAATCCTGATGGGGTTTCCTTTACAATCTGTTTGGCTTCCCAGAAAATGATATTCTCATGAGTTTGGATTCCAAGTAGAAAACTTGGTGCAGTCCTTTCTTCTTCTTTTTTGGTATAAAGTTGAGATTTTTTTTTTTTAATAGTCAGTTGATCCTTGGGTAAAAAGTTAGATAATTTTCTGGCATAATTTGAAGTGGGATTTGGTTAGATTTTTGTAAATTGTGATTTTATTTTTTTATTTTTTTACATTCAATGGAATCTTGGAGCTGTATTTCTGAAGGGAAAGGGTTTGTTGTATCAGATGAAACATTTTCACATACTGATTCACTTTCTAGAAGTTGAAATGGTTTGATGGGTTGGGAACTGAAAATCCCATGTACCTTCATGGAAAGTCAAGGTTTTGGGGAGTTGGGTAACTTGGGTTTGCCAGAAATGGTGGGCAAACATTTGCAGAGTGATTCAATTAGAGATGTAGTGAGCACAAGTATGTCTACCCCGAATTTGTTTTCGGGTGAAGCCGAATCCTTTTCGAGGATTTCGAGCTCCATTGTGGACTCCAGCAGTAGGGATTCTTCACTCATTGATTTAAAACTAGGGAGATTGGCTGATCACAAAGGTGTTCATAGCTCTAAATTGTCTAAAGGAACTCCCATGTTGTCCTCATCTGAATCATCCACACCTACGAAGAGAATGCGTGTTTCGGGTGTGTATTCTCAGCCCGCCTACTGCCAGGTTTATGGTTGCAACAAGGATCTTAGCTCCTGTAAGGACTACCACAAGAGGCATAAAGTCTGCGAGGTTCACTCGAAGACTGCGAAAGTTATTATCAATGGCATAGAACAAAGGTTTTGTCAACAATGTAGCAGGTTGGTCATGTTTATAACATCTTGATTGAATTCACGTTCTTTGGTTTGCCACAAACATTTTGCTTTCTGATTTTTTGTACACTTTAGTTAAACCCAACAGGATTTTGAATCGAACTGCTTTTCTAATGATATGGTTCTTATTGCTTGCTGATATAATACGTTCTAGCTTTTGACCATACAGGTTTCATTTGTTGGGTGAATTTGATGATGGTAAGCGTAGCTGTCGTAAGCGCCTTGCAGGACACAACGAGCGGCGGAGAAAGCCTCAGATTGGGAGTCATTCTGGAAGAGCTGAGAGGTTCCCTCAGTCATTTGATGGTATTAATGAAAATTAATAGTTCATTTCTAATCTTTGATTGTCCTTACATTCGTGGTCCCCCCCTCCCCTCCCTCTCCTTTGTCCTCAACTGCAATAGAAACATGCCGTCAACTCTTGTGCATCCCTGTCCTCTACATATTGTCAACCCTTATCGATGAAAATTTGTTTTCTGATCTAATTTACCGTGTCGAAAATCAAGCCTTAGTAATGGAGGAATGTGTCTACTGGCTGCATATTGCAGCTGCAACATTGAGCTGAAACCTTTTGCCTCGGAGGGTTAGGCCTAATATACAATTGAAATTTATGCCGGAATACGTAAGAGATAGTTTCTTTAAGTAAGTCAAGCTCGTTGAACACCACTATGGATGAAAAAGCCTTAATAAGAGTCATCTTATCTGTGTGAAGTATGGTCATATGTTTTTGTTACGATTTCTCTAGAATTCAACGCAAAATCTTCAAAAGGACCCAACATGCACCCAATTTGACGAAACTTGTGTTTAAGACAAATAAATCTAACTAGTTGGCAACAATTAAATGTTATGTGTTATTCTCATGACTCATGTTTCTTAAGACTCCAATCAAATTTAGGATGAGGATTCTCCTGTATAACTTACTGTTCTTGCAGTGTTTGATTAGAGAATCATTACTCCATCTACTGTTTTGAAGCATTCAGTTGCATTGCTTATTTTAAAGTATGCACATTTTGCAGGTGGCAGATTTGAAGGGAATATGTTAACTACTGCATCTTTTATCTGCCAAGAGATACTCCCTAGTGGCAATTTGAATCCTGAGAAATATGGAACAAGTGACTGGTGCAGGCGCCTAAAAGTTGAAGGCGGGACTCATTATGGGCCTTTTTTGGGGATGCCTGTTGCAAACGGGCATCTGCATTCGAAACCTGTCCTCCCTTCTTACGATATTGGCAAACAGTATCCCCCATTTCATGAAAACGGAACTAATCCTCAAAATGCAAGCATATTTGGTCAGAACGGTAGTCAATATCCACAAGATGCGAGAGGCCTAAGTTCCGGTTCACATTCTATTTTTCATGAGACCGCATTAGGAAGTCAAAACTTCAATGTTTTTGACACTGCTTCAGCAGTTCAAGGATTATTGGGAATCTCAGACTCTGGCTGTGCTCTCTCTCTTCTGTCATCTCAATCACAGAACTCTTCAGGCTATTTGTCAGGAATTCCTATTGCGCGTCCCTTAGTCATACCAGCCAGCCATAACTTCCCTTCTTCAGGAATGAATTCTGGAGCTGGCAATCACCTGAGTCCCATGCCGCTATCTAATGGTTGTGATGATACCGATGATTTTGGAATCTCAGATGGGATTTTCCAAGGATCAGGTTTTGTGAACACAAAAGATCGTCTACCCTTTCAAGATGGAGCCACTATCAACTTGCTTCAACTGTCATCGCAGCTCCAACGAGTAGAGGATCAACGGCAATCCATGCTGGTGAAGCAGGAAAATGATGCTTTCTGCTTTACTGAGAATCACTTAAAAAGTGATCTGCAAATAAGGTAAGTTGATGTGTACCACAGTAACTTTGAATTCTATCACGGTGATTAAAAATCCAAATGGCTGCCTTGTATCATCGATTATATGCCACGTTGAAGAATGAATATGTCCGAAAAATATATTTGGACTCGACTTGAGAAACATGTGTCATTAGTTCGCACGAACCTGTCACTTTGTAATTTACAATAATCTCTGCTGTATTCACAGTCCAATTTCTATTTGAATTCATCTTATTACTATTTTGGACTTCCTTTGATATCAGAGAGTAAAGTATCCCGACTGTAATTAGACAGGACGCGAAGTGTGAATGCATGTCGCAGTTGGGAACAAATCTACCATGGATCTCCTTGAGAGACATTGATAGTAGCAGTTGGAGTGTACAAGAAAAACTACAAACTTTAAGTACATCATTTAGCCTGCCGCGAACTACGTTTGAGTTCTTGTATACGTTCTAAAATGATTGTCTTAATCTCCTCGGTTCTCTTTATTCTCTGCATTCTCAAGAAGTTTTATGGATAAGTTTCTGCTTTGAAACTGACATCCTCACGTATAAAGTTCCGTTTCTTATCTTTCTGCATACCATTTCGTGATGAACGTTATTTACTGATTTATATAGGAAGTGTTTAATTGTTTTGCTGTACGAAGTCGTAAGATTACTTCACTGCACAATCTTATAAGACTAGTTACGACTTAAATCTTCTCTAGTTAAGCACAGACTATCCCCGAAAAGCTCGATAACAGGTGAGTTTGCAGGCAGTGCAAGCAGCACAAGCAAAGGGTAAGTTTGTTTTTGCCGAAGAAAATAAAGGATACTTGCTTCATAAGTAAGCTATATCGAACCGACAGTAGTTCAAGAGCTGCTAGATACGCATCAGAAACTCCAGGTAAGCACCAAAACTTCGGGTAAAATGGTTCTTACCAAACGCACCAAAAGCTTGCACAAAACAAATTAAGCTCCCAGAAATTTATCGCAGTACAATCTGTTATCTGGCAATCATTTTTAATAGACTAGAATACATTGCGAAGAAAGTTAAGATTCCACCATCAAACTTTATATAAATTCTTGCATGGTTTGGTCCCTCATCAATGTGCTCACACGCCTTCTCCCGTATGGCGAATTTTCAAGTCTAACATGTAAATGACAGAAAATGGGTGACGTAGAGCACGTTGGTTGTTGTGCTTCACACATGGGCCAACCAACTTTGATACCATGAAGAAAGCAGAGGTTTAACCATAAAACCAATTGGCAATAGGGGGAGTAGACCAACCTCTTATAAGCTTTTGCACAGTTTCTCCTTTCACCGATATGAGACTTTTTATCTTCACATCCTCACGCATTGTCTTGTAAATCACATATATATTTGGCTAAAGTTTCAAAGAAATTAACACAGGAACTAATCGCTGGCTCCGTTTACACTACAAGAATTTACTTTTATATTAACTTTGTATTTCTTTGGCAATGAATGATGGTGGTGGTTTTATAAACCTATCACACACCGTCGTAATTTTTATAACTTGACCACATAGCAACACGTGATTGATTCCAAATATCGTATATTAGCGTCTCATTTACATGCAAGTTATTCTCAACGGTTCTAACTGTTTGAGTTGACAAAGACTCTTCTCACTGCATGGGTGGATGCCGTGCATATAGGAATATACTTTTCTAATTGTGTAGTTATGTATCTTTCAGAATCCAGATCTGCTTTTACCAATCTGGCAGTCCATAATAATTGAGTTTACATTCAGCACACAAAGCCTGCAGGCCAAAGCAATGGGTGATATTGTTCAAAAAAAAAAAAAAAAAGCAATGGGTAATAATATGGTATTTAAACTTCTAATTTTGTCAGAGTTACATGCATTCAACTATAGTTGGTCTCATTTATTTATTAAAATAACTAGAGTCGCTCTACCTTAATTTTCAATCTCGTTTGTGTGGGAGAGAATCGTGGGTAGGACTGCTAAATAGGGCAACTCTCTCAGTAAGATTAGAGTGGGGTTACATATGAGATCAAAGAGCCATTTCAAACTAATAAGGCTCTCCACATTGCAAGTTTTATTTATTTATTTATTTTTTTTGGGGGGGGGGTGGGGGTGGTGGTGTCTACCGTTTGTAGTCTTACCCTTACTTTCCAAATAAGCTTACATGACTCGAACCTGTGATCTTATGATTACAAAATAACAACATTTATGTTGCGCCAAGGCTCACCCTCAGATTAAATGAGACCAAAATATTAAAATTCTGTTTTTTGTGGGGTAGATGAGAGTGATGTTAGTCCTGACAAGGCAATATTAAAAGTTTTTCTCATTTTATATAGTGTCATTGGCCTTTCTTGGTCTTTTGCTTGGTCTATTCTGATAAGAAAAAGGAAAGATAATGTCACTTGCTTCTCAGTCAATTTGGTTGGATCCATCATCACAAATTCAAATTAGAGGAAACACATAGCGTTTGTGGTTGAGAAAGCACTTTTGGAGGACTTGTTAGAAAAATGCATTTTTTCCACATTGAGCAAAAGGAATGGAACATAATGCACGTCAAAACACAAGAAAGAAAGTGCTTAGTTACAAAGAAGAAAAATGCTTCAAAACTCAACTTTTTCCACAAGTTATCACACACCAAGTTTTGGATCAAATATTTGGGGGTGGGGGCGGGCAATAAGTCTTGTGAAAGAGGTCTCATTCTTCTGAAGTGAGAAGAGCAGCTCTCATACCAAATGAGACTCACGTAGAGTTTAGTGGGATCAAAATAAAATAAAATAAATAGTGCTTATATAATAACAATCCTACGAACATAGACGGAGCCACTATAGGCTCACTGGGGGTAAATGTCCCAACTCATTTTTTATTTGAAAAAAATCTACATGTAGTTCTACACGGCTAAGTAATACACCCCTCCCCAATTAAAACCCTTCAATGAAATAACATAATCTTGTTAATATTGACAATACCCCACCCAAGATTAATGACTACCCCACATACAACGACCCGAAAGAAATTATAGAAGCATTGTGAAATCAAATGGGAAATTAAATATGAATGATAACATGGGTTACCTTCGGCAATCGAGTAGTCTAATTTTTAACCATATTTGTTAATTTAATGTTACTTTATTGCTTGGAGGTTCGCATTGGACAACTTTACTCAAAACTTTCTCGCACTCAAGGGCATCATGTCCGACATCAATGAAAGTCACACGTATGATGCCCTTAAAACCTTGAAAACCGCCGGTGAAGGATTGCAATTTCTACCTCGACACCTTTCAAAGTTCGAACTTTGAAAACAGCTCCACTTGTTTACGAAATTCCGTACTTGATGTTGACTAATGTTCCAAAGATTCAAAACTTCGTTGTGCCAACTCTTTCTTTGGCATCCCCACCAAGGTTACATTATTTTAGATGCCGGGAAAGATGCTCGAAAAGTCGGCAAACGAAAGAAACAAACTTATTCTAATTTACGAGGAGGGAGATTCAAATTTAGTTGCGCAATAAGACAAACATATTGTCTTGACCAATTGCCCTAGATCGAATCGAATAGTACGAGAGAGAGAGAGAACAAACAGTATAACAAACAAAACTGTCACTGAGTCATCGTTGAATCGAATAAATAAGCTAACGCTTTAAATTGTAATAGAAATACATATCCGTCATCATATTATTGTTCTAAGCTCATGGAACTGAGATAAATAAGAAAACATCTTCTCCGATCCGCCAAATAAATACTCCCGTAGCTCGAAACCAAGAGCTCGGGGAAAAAATGACGATCAGATTACAAACAGGCCCTATGACTGACTATCGAAAGCAATGATAATGTCAACAGAAATCAATCTATTTCGCAACAACTTTGTTAGCCTCAACAGCCTTTCCTTCGACTGGGTTCAACTCATCCCATGCTTCGACCCATGTGACCATGGCATCTGCAAGCTTGACGAAGTACTCATCGACCTTGCCAAGTTTGGCCTTGACTTGCTTGGAGAGTTCAAGGTAGCAGCCCTGAACGGTGGTGCAATCCTTTGGGAGGGTGGCGGACTGGAAAAACGGGATCAACTCCTCTTGCCAGTAGATTCCTTTGTATTCCTTCTTAAGGTTCACAAATGGGTTGCTTGCCTTGCTATGCCAGATGTAGGGCAATCCTGTCTTCACTCCCAACCCCAAGTGGTCACAAATAACCTATAAATCCAACAATGACAACTCATGTGAGCCACTAAAATTCGAAAACACAAGGCGGGGTGTTTTGATTTGGAAATCATTGCAATGTAATAACAAGGGACAATACAGATGAACAGGCTTTAAAGATATTTTGAGAGATACCTTCATGCACCAGCCAGCCCACATGTCGTCGTAGCGCCCGATTGGCTGACCATCACCCATGAGTCCAAAGTACATAGCAGGTCCAATCAACTCACGGTCGAATGCCAGATTCATGCCGCACATGGGGAAAAGAGTTCCCTTGGGAATGGTCAGGACTGCATCCACAAACCTGAAAACACAGAGACATTATAGTCAGCAAGTATTTTATAAACTCATATACACAATTCCAGTGGATGGAAAATGGCAGAACAATGTACCTGGTGTTTCTCTCTCGGGGCTTAACAAGCTGGGTGGGAGCATCATAGTCCGGAATGTTGAGCCAAAGGCCATGAGAAACAGCGGTTGGGACGCCTTCACGTAGACTGAAGGGGTATCCACGAACGAAATCTGCACCTTCACGGTATGGGTCGTACAGGGTGTTGAAGAAAAATGGAGTTGACGGAGACAGAAGGTTCTTGATATGCTGCTCAAGTGCATTGATATCTTTGCCAGAAGGATCTTTGGCAACCTGCATTTTCACAAAGAGTACCATACTTAAGTTATAACACCTCAAATTCACAAGAATTGTAAGGATAACGATCAAATCTGAAACACATTAGCAGCACCATAACATTGCTATTTCCAGCAACAGTTCCAAATACAAAACACCACTACTCAAAGAACGAATACACGAAACCGAAATTAAACGTTTTAATCTTAATCAATATTCACGGGCTGAAACCTTTTAAGTGTAAATCTAACAATAATTCGAACAGACTTGAGTGCAAGGTGGAGATCTGTGAATGTAGTAAACAGTATATCAATTACCTTAGTGCTGAACCTAAGATTTACGCAAACAATACGAATCTTGCAAAAACTTCGCTATCATAGAATCGCAATTATATAATTCATGCTATCACCGAAACCGGATCAGAAGACAATGACTAACAAACAACATCTCTACACAAGAATTTAAGTACACTAACGGAAAGAACTCATGGTAAGAAACGGATCAAACCAAAGGCAACTAAGATATTAAAATATGACTCGAAAGAAACACAGATCAAAGCAAGTAAAGTCCATTGACAAAAGCAAACGATGAGGATAAGTCAAACATTAGCAGCAGAAACAGATCTAAACAACAAAAGCAACAGAATTTCATCACAAGCTAATCAATTCGAGTCGAATCGAAGTTCAATTGAACAAGAAGATTTCGAAAACCCCAACAAAACCCACCAAGATCCAACCTTTTCAACTCAAAAATCAAATCCCACATCCAAAACAGCCCCAATTAAGATCCCAAGTTTTCGAAACCCGAAAGCGATACTTACAAAGCAATCGTCGTCGATGGTGAAGATGTACTTCTTCTTGGAGACCATGTAGCCGAAGCATCTGCAAGCAGAGTCCTTGAAGGAGATGCAGGACGCCTTGGGACCCAGAATCCGGTTGATGTCATTGCGGTTGTAGAGCTCGTAGTCGAACCCCTCCGGGACCTTGATCACCTTCGACGGGTCGCCGTCCTGGACGATGATGAGGTGGTACTGCTGGAAGAAGGGCCTCCACATCTCGAGGAAATCGAGGTTTCGGATGGTGGGGATGACGATGTCGAGCTCGTCTTTCAGAAGAGGGGTCGGGGCGACCTTGCTGTACTGCGCCATGGCTGCAGCTGCTTCTCAACGACGGAGAGCAAGAGAGAGGGACGGAGAGAGAGAGAGGGATGGGTTGGAGTTTAGAGAGTGTTGGTTGGAAGTGTGGGAGATGTCCGTGTATTTGAAGAGGAATTTGAAGGCTGGTTGTCACGTGCGAAGAGAGGGCGGCACGTGAGAAGAGGGAGGAGAGATGTATTTGCATTTACAATTTGTAATTACAAATTATAATTTTGTAAGGATTTTGATTAGGTTACCATAATTTGAGATTTTGTGGGATTTAAAAGTGAACCAAGTACTTGTTTTGCTCTTGTGGAAATTGGAAGGGAATTCAAGTGGGATTTGAAATGTTACAGGGAAGTAGATTCGGTCAAAGTCTAATTCTTAATTGGTCAAATGAGAAAGCTAGAAAAGTAAAAAGGCAAAAATAATTATCATGGTGTGATTTATTAGTGTTTTTAAAAGCTTAATTGGATAAATAGGTTCGTGGTAAGGTATTTAGAAAAAAACTCCGTGATCAAAAGTTAAAATTTAAATTCACGATACAGTTTAGTTGCAAATTTAGTATAAAAGTGATCACACTATTTCTTTCACTTTTTCCTTTCATCTCTGATACTTCTATTTGTGATTTGTATCTTTGCTCTTTTCTCTCTAGGTCCTACCATTTTTGTTGGTTTTCTATCAAAACCAAATTAGTAGGACCACAAAAACACAATCTGGGTATAGCTGATTCCCCGGCCCTCCCCCTCGCCCGGGGAACACCCCCTATTAATTTAATCATCAACTTTCACGTTATTTAATTTATAAAATTTTATTTACAAATTTAATATCTCTAACGCCATTACTCTTACTTTTTCTATCAAATGTTATGAAAACGCTTCGAATCACATTCTATTCTTAAAACACTTTGACGTACTAGCACATCAAAGTAGCTCAAATCACGGCAACATTGGCGAGAAAAGCACAGAATCTTGGCCAAACCCCAAGCGAAGGGTTAAATTAGGGGAAAAACCACCGAGCCCTGGTGGCATTCGGCAGGCGACGCCTTCAAAGTCGCCGGTGGCTGTCAGATCTGTGGACATTTCTGCCCTCTTTTCAAATGTCAAATTCTCATTTGTCCTTGTTGTGGAATCCAACCAAATATCCCCCAAAACCCTTCAGAAGCCGCCACGTCGCCAGCCCGACGCGTTCGCGACCGACACTTTTACTACTGTGAGCAAGAGGCCCACTGGATCCGAGCCTTTTGCCGTAGATCTCGACTTTGTAACAGTCTTTGAGGCTTGAGTGTTGACCCAGTTGTCACTTTCACAAGCTTCTTTCACGTTTACCCCTCTTTGAAGGGGTAGATCCAAAATTTGAAAACTGGAATTTATTTAGTAGAGTTTGGTCATTAGTTGGTCCACTCCTAATTAAGGGTTTTAGCAGTTGAATTGGTTTAGTAGCATTTAGTCTCTGTTTGGTTGACGGAAGTTAGGTTTTCATCTTTGATTTACGTGCAAAAATGATGTTAAAATAGTAGGTTTTGAGACTGGGGCGGTATATTCAATTGAAATTTTGAGGATTTTTATTTTATTTTTAATAAATTTAGGAATATTCAATCATGATTTTCAGTGATTTTTTAAAATTTAAAGTGTAGTTAATTGAGATTTTAAGATAGTTTATTAAAATCCTTAAAATTCTAGTGTATTCCATTAAGATTTTAAAGAAGTTTATAAAGTTTCAGATATATTCAGTTAGGAATTGATTTTAAAGGATTTCAGAAAGTTGAGGGATTCAAGGAAATATGAGAGATTTTGTAGTGTATTTTAAGCAATCACAAATCTCACATCTCCCCTTGAGATTTCGAGAAAATTAAATCTAGATTTTATATGAAATCTTTGCAAATCAATTAAACTCCATCACAATTCATGGAATGAAAACACTCGTGATTTCTGATGACTTGTTACGAGTTTTATGGTTGTGTTTAACAGTCTATACATTCATCAAAACTACGCCACTACAATTAAACTAAGCGCGACTAATTAAGCATCAAACTTATAACAATATTGTCATCACCACTTTTGTGAGTCAAACTTGAGACATTTTTCAATTGAGGAAAGACAAGTTAGACAATTGTCTTCAGATCAAATGCAAGTTCATACTGTCACGTGATATTAACATTTTGCATGCTCTTATATGAACACATGAAGAATTTATAATCTATAGTATTAACGTTATACATGTTATAAACGTTTGTTGATTATATCGCGTGACAGTATTCAGATATACAAACCTAATAATTTCTCTTAGTTAAGGCCTCGATTTGACTTCCATTTTAATAGGTAAATAGGTATCGGCGGTACTGGTACGTAGCAAATGCACCATACCAAATTTTACCAAAAAAGCAAACACCCCATGATGACACAAGGCGTTTCTAGGTTACAGTCAGATTAAATTCGAACTTGAGATATACCATCAGGATTTAGTTTATTAAAATTGTTAGAAAGTTTACTGTATTCAATTAAGATGTTAAAGAAGTTTATAAAATTTCAGATGCACTTAATTAAGTATTGATTTTAAAGCATTTAAAAAGTTAAGGAATTTGAAGGAAATGGATATTTCGTAGTGTACTTTAAGCAATCACATTTCTCACATTTCCCATGAGATTAAAGGAAATTGAATTACAAGTTCACATGAAATCTCTATAAATCAATTAAATTATATCAAAATTCATAAATTTATAAATTCATGAAAATCCCTTAAGAACCTAATTGAATACACTGCCCTAAGTTGTGACTCATGATGACTTGTTATAACCTTGTGGCTGTGTTTAATAGTCTATATATACATCAAAACTACGCCACTACAATTAAGCTAATCACGACTAATTAAGCATTAAACCTATCACAATATTGTCATTGAACTTCTCTGAGTTGAACTTGAGATATTTTCCAATTAGAAAAAGACAGGTTAGACGATTGCCCTCATACCAAATGCTAGCTCATATTATCACACGTTATTAACCTTTTGCATGCTCTTATACGAACACGTGAAGAGTTTGTACTCTAAAGTATAGTATTAACAAATAATGCATGTTATAACATGTATATTAATTATATCACGTGACGGTATTCAAATAAACAACCCTAATTTCAGTTTGTTATGGCCTTAATTTGACTTGCTTTAATTGGTAAATAGGTATAGGTGGTACGCATGTAGCAAGTGCACCATACCAAATTTTACCAAAAAAGCAAGCAAACACCCACATGACGAGGAACCAAACACAATACCCGATGGCTACACACGTCCTTTTCAAATTACAGATTATATTGGAGCTTGAGATATAGAAATTTAGAAATACCATCACCACACTAGCACCACTGAGTCCAAGAGAAAAACGTGATTTTCTTTTACAATACAAGTGGTAGTGAATGAGGGAAGTCGAACTCAGTATTTCGGGTATAAAGATGAATGTTTATAATCATCTTGAATTAAAAACTCTTGTGATACAGAGAAGAAAGACTTTTCATGCAACGTATGCCGAAAAATACAACAAAACATTGTGTTATTAGTACACAACGTTTTGTGTCATGGACTCTGGCCAAGGACAGAGCCAACTTGGGGGCGACCTAGTGGGGCTGGTGGATGCCCCACTTAGTTGTTGTTTTTTTTTTTTTTGGGAAACAAATATACATGCTTGTGACATTAGCAAGATGTATTACTAGTTTATTTGCTTGTGTCATTAATATTAAGGGAACTTTAACCAAAAGTTCCTAGTACTGTTCACTTTAACGAAAAACCACATTTTTACACTAAAAAGTCAATCATGGTACTATTCACTTTACCCTTTATTTTGTCATTATCATTAAAACTCAAAGTTTTCAAACCACATTTTTACACTAAAAACCACATTTTTACACTAAAAAGTCAATTATGGTACTATTCACTTTACCCTTTATTTTGTCCTTATCATGAAAACTCAAAGTTTTCAAACCCTTTTCATTAGTTTTCCTTAATATTAACTCATCCAACTGCTACTGCCAACTTTGAAAGAGCATTTTCAGCTATAAGATTTCTGAAGAATCGAATAAGAAATCGGATGAGAGATCAATTGGTAAATGATAACATGATTGTTTTTATTGAAACGTATTTAATGGTATTGATAATAAAATTGTTATGCAACGCTTTAACTTTTTAATTTGTAATCATTGTTCAAGGATGTCCTTATTTATACAGATGTCTGACTTCGTTCCGTCCCTAAACAAAGAGAGCAGTGTTAGAAAACCTAGAAACTATAGAATAAGTTGAAGTGCATGACATGTCATCAGGAAGGAAGATATTAGACAGACAGACAGAAGAATCTTGGGATTGGCGACGTGAGGTGAACTGGTGTAACGTTTGGCTGTATGGGAAAGGGAAGGAGCAAATGGGGCAGTTTTTTACTTGCTATAACGTGAAAGAACCCGTTGAAAAGGAAGGAGATTTGCCAAAACACCACCGACAGGCCAACTGGCGCCCACTGCCTTCCAACCAAACACAACCCTCTGTCCATTTTTATTAAATTTTTTTAGTTTTGTTTCCAAATATTATTCATACTACTAAGTTGGGATTAATTTAATACAAATATGAGATTAATTAATGCTATATTATATTGTTACATTGTATACTATGGCATGCATGATTGTTTTTGCTTTTAAACAAATGGGAATATGGGATACTCCCACTAATCTACTTTTGATTCATCATTAGTCTCTCTAACTACACTTGTAGATCCCATCGAAAATCAATTTATTCTTTTTGTTTGCGATTACTAATTAGTATTGCTGAATCGTAAGTAAGCATAAAAAATTATTCTCAATCACTCAGTCGTGAAAAAAAATGTGCAGAAGAGAATAATGCCTTGTGGTTAAATAAATCTTCCCTCCTAAAAACATCATAAACAATAAAATTGGACTTTATTGTAGGCCTTTCCCACATGTTGAGAAGAGCATATAAACCAACCATGAGGCCCATATTAGTCATGATATTGTAACCCAACCCGTTACCAAATCATTTTTCCTTGTGTTCTTGAGTTTTACCTGTACATATGGTGTTTGTGGACATTTTCAGACAAGTGCTACAGAACTAATA